CGTTGAGCTCCAGTTAGCCGCCTTATCTCACTGCGCGAGAGGCAACTGCGTCATGCGTCACGGGCAAAAGGTCAACAAGGTGACAGGAGGGCTTATTATGTTTTTACAAAAAAAAACAGAAAAACAAAACCAAATAATTTTAGTACATGTTATTATGTGTCAGAAGAGGGCTTAGAAAATAATACAAAAAAAAAAAAAATTGACCAAAAGGGCACTTGGGGGGCAAGGAGCAAAAGGGGCAGGTACTCAAGCACCCCCACCCCCACCCCCCTTTGCACGTGCCTGGTGACAGTAATAGAAAGCAGAACAACTACATCTATGGATATAACAAAAAAATATAATTTAAAAAACCTGTAATTCTTCTGTCACTACAAGTATTTTATTTTAAGTAAAAGTGAATCAACAATGTTTTATTTTGTTTTTTAAATTATGTAAAACAACCTTAACTCAAGCTGTTGTCCTTATATTTTTATCTCAAGACATGCCTCTTTCCTATAAGTTACAAAGTGGCTATATTTTTTTTATATAGTTTACTTATAAATCATGAGTATATATCATGGGTAATGATGGCTGGGATTTGGCAACAAATTAACAAAGCTGATGTCTTTAAAGCTGTAAAAATGGACAAGGATATGGAGCATGGTTGAAATAAAAAAAATTCTGATGGCAAGATGACTATATCAGAACATCTCAGCGATTCCCTCTCCTGTTTGTTCCAAGTCTATAATGACATGTATCTATCAAACACAGCCTAAGAAACAAACTGCAGGAAACCAGCCACATAATCATGTCAAGGCTGTAGATGCATCAGGGTGTTCCAATAAAACAATGTATGATGAGTAATACTTTCTTTTGCACAATATGATTTTCCAGGTGCATGTGTGTTTACCCAGGAAACATCAGTGTAATGCATTAGTGTATCTGTATCAGACAGACAGAATGGTGCTACTAAAGTGGTGCTACTCTGGTTGAACCCCATATGCGCCTTAGTTGCTTTGTATTTCTGTGTCATGTACTGTAATCTTTTCATTGCAATGAATACCTTGAATATAGCAAGAATAACAGCAAAGAAGAAACTCTGATGAAAGAAAAACAATGATGATGATTGAAATTCTGCAGGATTAGTCAGCAGATGACAGGTGTAGTTATTTTTATCTGACGTCTGTGGAATATTATTTGTCCAGAGAAGAAGAGATGAGTGCCACTGTAGACTAATATTGAAAGTAGTAATTAATACTGCTACGTATCAAACCAAAGTATTAATTGGTGTCTGTTTTAGCAGTGTTTATTACGGTGGCCGACAGGTGCAAATGCGCAGCAACAGAGAAAAGATGCGAACAAAAAAAAAGACACGCGCACAAATGAAATGCAGCAAACAAAAAGCAAATAAAATGCAGCAAACAAAAAAAGAGACGCAAACAAAAAAGAATACACCCACAAATGAAATGCAGCAAACAAAAAGAGAGACGCAAACAAAAAAGAATACACCCACAAATGAAATGCAGCAAACAAAAAAGAGAGACGCAAACAAAAAGTGTTGAAAACGGAAGTGCTCCAGACCACTAGGGGGAGTCGAAGAAAATAGTATTCATTTCTATGGGACCAGATGCAAGATTCAGAGAAAGAAATTTGAAAGAAAGTAAAGGTGCGTATTACTATATTTCTTGTCAGATACGCCGTCTTTTATAATATTATAGAATAACAGAATAGTTGATGGGTAGCGTGATAGACTTTGTGTCAATCATAGCATTATGGGCTCGGTCTCGTAGATGCTTGCCCGAATTAGCAAAGCAATTATGCTAATCATACCGCAAGAAAAAATATATAAATTACACACTCATATAATTAAATAGATAGATAGATAGATAGATAGATAGATAGATAGATAGATAGTGAATTCGATTTATCACCTATGTGTCTGTCACAAGAGGGATAGAGATGTTTGCAACTTTTTCTTTTTTTTGGTGTATGTACATATCTGGTTTCAACTATACCTATGTGCATACCATTTACCTTTTTAGGTGGCCATGTTTTGCTGTTTCTGTGGACAAAATCTAGGAACAATTCAAGTTTTCTGTTTTTCATGTGGGAAGATTGTGCAGTTCTTGGTACAAGATCAAGACACTGGTAAGCAGTGATGGCATAGTTACTTTTAAAAATTAACTTTAGTCGATTACTTATTACTACTTAAAAAAGTAGATTAGTGATTACTTTTTTTTGGAAATTTACTAAGTTACATTTTTTATTTTTCTCCACCACTTGTGAAAAGCTTGAGCTTTGCAAATAATTAATTGCAAGTTATTTAATTATAGTAATATCAAGTATGTATAAGGTTGAACTGAACGGGAGATTAATGGTTACAACAGCACACACACACACACACACACACACACACACACACACACACACGCACGCACACACACACAAAAAACCAAAATAGTTCCTGTTTTCCCAGCAACAACATGCGCATCTCCCTCCTCCCCGTATTGTTTATGTTTCTGTCTCCGCAGATAACTGTCACATGTAAACGGCCTTACATAGGGATTAAATTAAATTACAAAAGAAAATAGCAACGCACAGTGATTTGGATAAGTAACTTTAATATGGCTACTGGATTTGAATTAGCAACGCGTTTGATTACTCGTTACTAAAAAAAGTGGTAATGTATTTTACCCATTCAAAATTTTCTCCAGTCTTGGAGTGCTTGCTTCATCTGGACCATCCCACACCTATGTATAACATATAGAAGACAGGTTTTATCTTATCAAAAGAAAGTTTAAGTAATTCAATTCAGGAGAAATGTCAAAGATACAGACTGACCACAGTGTCAGATAGTGGACTATCTTGAGATGGCAACCTTACATGAACCACACTGTCATCATCACTTGAACTCTGTCCACTGTAACCTTTAAAAAGCAATAATTATTTTGACATTTATTTTAATTATTTTTTTATGTAATTCCACAAATTGTTTAGTTGCATAGGAATTCTTCATAAACATGTTAACAAGAACATTTTAGTATAAGTTGTTGTTACGGCCCTGGGCCTTGTAAGCTGGGCTGCAAGTGTCTTGTTGTCCGTCCTTGTGCTCCTCCCCTTTGCAGGTGTCTCAGATCCAGTGATTGGGAGTGCAGAGTACTTTGACCTGGCTGTCTCCGTCTTCTGGGTCGCTTGTCGCCTCAGCGTCCACTCTGCCGCTGGGATGTTTGGTGGCCAGGCCTTAGCTCCCCTCCTGTTGCACTTTTGAGTTTGTCTTTGTTTTGGCACCTCAACACTTCCATATGCACTCATACAACACATCCAAGTATTTGCATTACACCACTGATACTGATATCCACAATCCATTGTTGTTTTTGTTAATAAATATTCATTTGTATGCACTTTAACCACGGCATGGTCTATTGTTTTTGTTACAACCCTGAGCCAGTCGTAACAGATGTACAAGTAGAAATTTGTACAATTAGCAGTATATTCAGATTTCTTTATCCATCCACCCAGTGAAAAGAAATATACTATAAATCTATACTATAAATAATACATTTTCTTTTGCAAGGCTAAATTTTGCAATTAATAAAATGTATGTTTGTACATCATTCTTTACAAAAGGGAGGTAGGTTTTGTAAAGAGGAAAATTATTTTTCTTCCTTACAGTACAGTTAAAATATACTACATCATAACTTGAATTAATCTTGTACAGAATTCTGGATATAGGAGGAAATTTTGCCATTTTAACTATAAGACTATAGCAAAATTGATCTTCAAACTATTTGGAATGTAGATCAAAAGCACTTACAGCTTTTTGCAAAGTCCTCAACAGGGCAAATGTAAAGTGTCACTCTTTGGTAAGGCTTTCCAATTGCCTCCTTGTACTTTTGCACTGTGAAAGGAATGTCTGTTCCTGGGATGTTCTTAACCTCCCTTGCATCAGGATACAACAAGACATGGGCACAATCTCTCAGGTCTATGTTAAAATCCTTTTGCTTCTTTACAGCAGCAGCAAGCACTTGTTCCGATGCCCACTCAGGGTGAATCTCAACTGGAAGGAACTTCCCTCTCACTGTCTTAAGGGAATCTCCCTGCATCCTCATAAGCCCAACATTAATCTGGGGAGAGACAAAATTTAATCAATCAAATTAAATTATTTGATGAAGTATGTAATTTCCAGTTTGTGTTTGCACTAAATTAAAGGCATACCTTCAGTTTATTTCCCTTCTGTGCTTTGTCTTGATGCTTCTTGGTTAAAAAAATTCTTTCTTTCCCTCTCTTTTATAGCTCTAAAGTTCATGAAACACTCTACACCTGAATTTCGTAATAAAAAAATACACGATTGGCACTTTAGTTATAATTTAAATGCATTAATTATTAATTGCAGGTACGATCAATACTGCAATGATCGTACCTGCATCTGCAGATGGTTTAAAGTGCTAACACTTAAGCATGCTGAAACCCCCCCCCCCATGCTTCGGTTTACCTGTGCTGGTGCTTGGTTGAACATCGGGAGTTGCAGTGGTAGTGTTCCTCTCATCTTGGGCTTTGTTTGCATGATCTTGGACAAATTTTATGTTTCTGCCACATTGACAACAAAAGTCTGCAGAATTTATGGCGGCAGTTCCACAAAATGGACAGTACATCTGAAAGAAAATTTGTTTTTTAACTCTCCAAGGGTAGAATACGTGAGTTTATAGACACTAATAAAATGTACTTTAGCACATTTTATTCCTGTGCTAAAACACATGGATAAAATTACGTGATAACATGACTCTTAACTTTCAGTTGACAGCAATTTGACGTAAAAGGTTTCATTAATTATATAAAGTATTTGATCAATTACAGATTTGATTCATTTATTCAAGCATATTTGTATTGCTAAACGATCTTGCCTCTCTCAATATGGCGAACGCCCTGACGTATGTCTACTACTGAACAACGACGCCATAGAAACAGATTGAAACTATTTGGTCTACCAGCCAATCGGGAAGGAGTTTACTGGACGTACGGCTAAAGCCGTTGCCATTGATACAGACTAAACCAACATCAATTTCAGCTGGCGTGTTTTTTGTAAAAATGAAGTTTCTTACACGGTGGTAAGAGTTTGTTGAAACAATTTCTTTTGTTGGCACACATTTTATTTCATGTGTTAGTATTACGCTAATTTTGCGTTGTTTTGTTGAAAAATGTTCGAGAAGTTTGTGTATGGTGGTGAACAACTCGATTTAAGTCAACGTTTGTTACAGATAGCACAAGAGGACCACAACAAATAGTTAAAACCATTTTGTCTTTCTGTATATTTTTAAAAAGCAAATTTTTATACACATTTTTTGGCAGAACGCTTAACTTTTCTGTTGATATAAATGCTTAAATTTTGCGGTAGTAGCTTATTTCAATATATTACGTTCTTACATTAGCACAACAAAGACGTTTTTTTGTGTGCTTAATTCTAAAACATTTACAGCACCTGTGACTCAGCCTATAGTTTGAAGCTATAATTTTATGAAGAAATGTTGCTTGCAGCCGAAATTAAAAACAATCATTTGTATTAATCAGGAGGTGACATGAGATATTACACCTCTATACTGCTTAGTGTGTAGCTGATACAGGAAAAATAAGTGCTCGTGTGTCTGGTTATTCGTAGTTTGAAAATTGTACTATCTACACAAGGCAACAAATATACATACACTTTTCCAGTTCTTAAGAGGTAGTAGGCAAATATTTATATTTTAAAAGGTCTGGGGTTGGGAGAGCGGCTAATTATTTTCTGTGCTGCGTTAATCTCCCTGGAGAGTCTCTGCTGCGGATTAGCTGGAATTCATCTTGCTATGTGTTACAAATTGTTTTGCAAGAATTAAGTAACATAAACCATGTTTTTTTTTCTCAGGTGATTGTTCTACAGAGTTCATTCAAAATGAAAGCAGTTCAGCTTCAGCAGTTGATCTCTAAGCTTCGCAAAGAGAAAGTCCTCGCAAAGGACGACAAGCCAAGACGGGTGAGCAGATCCTGCTGTTTCTGTGTGCTTTATTTATCAATAGCAACATCAAAAGTAAAAAAAAAAAAAAAAAAAAACTCCAAAATTTTAAGATGGGTTTTTCTGATGAGTTCTCATGCTCACTGTAATCAGTGAACTGCATTTTGGATATTGTCCAATGCTTTTAAAGAACCTTCTTCAAATGACCAATTGCCCTAATAATTAGTTTGGCTCCTTATAGGAAACAAAAATCAATCCTTGACTGCAGTGGCAATTTTATGCCTGTGCTTTATCCTGCTTCTTTTATGAATGCTCTCAGATTGACGTGAGATCCATATTCAACTAAACATGTCTCTCTGTATTCAGATTTTCAGGTAGTTAAATAGCTAAAGCTGTTTCAGCATCCGACTCTGGATGTGGTTGGCTGGAACAATTTATGTCCTATTTTACCTTTGCCCTTACGTCACAACTTAATAGCCTTTTGAGATATTGAGCCTCTAACGAATGCTAAAGAAAACAGTTTATTAAGAACAAGTTGGTAAATGAACAACCATCACTGCCAATTAAGGGTCCAACCAGATCTGTGGCAATTGCATATTTATGAAATGCCATACCTCCACTGTTACAAGGGATGTTATTGGTGTACATAAAAAGTACAATTCAGGAAAATTTGATTACATTTACTTCCCTCCGATGTAGTTTTTTGTATAAAATAATACAGTTAAACTGAATTAACGTACCTTGAAAAGTCTGGTTAAATGCGTTGAGTCTTTCACTTTCATGCGTTCACTTCTCCCAAGCAAGCAAGTGGAAAAGAGTGACTTCTTTTAGCAGGAAAAAACCTTCAGCAGAACCCAGCTTTGTATTATTGGTTGTCTGCTGTGAGAAGCTTGGGGTTGAAAGAACTGAAAAAAGACAGAAGAGAAAGAAAACAAAGTTAAGGTAGCAAAGCACCATCAACGTCACCATCTATGAAAGAGAATACAAACTCAGAAGTACCGAACTGAAAGCATTTTGTATATTAATAATATGACTTTTGGGTAGCCCCCTCTGCTAATTTTGTGGAATAAATTAAATTTCCACTCAATCGTATTATTTAACTCCTTTCCTTCCTTCTCTAAAGCAGCTTAATTGCTTCTGAGCAGTGTTTCATGAATCCAAACCTGTCAGCTGTTAAATATTGCATTTATCATAAGACTTCCTGCTACATTATTAATCCAGCTGAAATTCCTTTTTGACCTACCCCTGAAATGGGCTAAGTGCAGTTAGATGTTTCTTTGTCTCTGGTGCACTGATAAGGAGGTGCCATCAGATTGTGTAGCTTAGGTTTTAACCACAAAATATGGTTGATTGCTCTCACCGAACTAAGCTTTTTCATTACTGGTGTTTGATCTGACAATAAAGAGACAGCCAGTGCAGACTGGATAATAGACCCTGTTGTGTGATTGCAGATGACTCCATCAGTTTTTAAGCAAGAAATGATGCAGTCCTCAGAGGAGCACCTGAATAACATCGCAGAGGTCCATCTGCCCCTCAGGCTCGAGACTCCAGAAGGCAACACCACTCATTGCATGGTAAATGTCAGCAAATGTTGTCATTCCTCCAGACCTTTTTAGTAATAATATACGAGATTAATCAGTTGTAATGGTTTGAGATGACACATGAACCGTTGGTCCCAAGATTGGATTTATAAAAAGCTTACATTTTGTGCTATTAAAACATTATAAATGACAATCCTAACAATGAAATACTTAAAAACATATTGTATAAAAGGTTTCTCATTATTCTTATAGTAAATAGAGTCCATCAGTGTGCAAAGTAGTCTTTGTACAATTACATCTGTTCCTTGAAAACCTCTGAAGTTTGTCAGATGAGATGCAACCTAACTGACTTGTGAGCGAGGAAAGCATTAAAAGAAGAAGCAGCCAAGAGGCTGCAGAGTTTTAGAACTAGTATGGGAGAATCTGTTGACGGGATAGCTGTTAGTTTTGCAGACAATAAATCTACTGTTGGTGGAAGAGTGGCCATAAAAGCCATGAAAATCCAATTTCTAAGTTACCAACTAGCCATGTTGATAACACAGCACAAAAGTGGACAAAGTGATCTGGTCTTATGAAGCAAAGTATGGTTTTGGCTTAATTGTAAAATTAAATATCTGACAAACGAGTAACAATGCGCATTGGCCTGAATACACCATACCCACAGTGAGGAGCAGTTCTTTGGACTACACTTCACTGTGGGTTTGGTGTGAATATACTTTTATCTTCGCAGAAACTGGGAAATTACAGAGTCAGCAAAAGGCTTAAGATCGGGCCTGCAGTTTACCTTCCAGCCGGAAAACAACTTTAAACATACAGCTAGAACAACAGTAAAATTGTTTAGATCAATTAATATTCATGTGTTAGAATAGTCAAATCCAAGCTCTCACCCACATGGAATTAATCTTTTGCAGGACATGAAAATTTATGTTTGCAGAATGCTCTCTATCCAGTCAAAAAAAAAAGAAACAAATACTCAGCTACAAAAATAAATCTGCAGGAAAATAAGTTTCTCTTGTAGTAAGCAAAGCTGGTAGAGACAAATACTGACTCAAGAAGACTGAATAGAACTACACAGCAGACTTTTTATCTTGTGAGAAATCTGAAAATGTGTCTTTTTTCCAGGAAGAAAATTACTGGAAGACATAACTTTTAAACTTCTGTTCAAAGTTATGCCCTACTTTGTGTCGGTCTATCATATAAAATACCAATGATATATGATGCACTTTATGTACCAAATTAGCTTCAGTCAGTCAGCAGCTGCAACTTGACCAGCATACTTTGCTGTCAAAAGTTCATTCAAGGTATTTAAAATTAATAAACACCTCCTCAGCAAATTAAAAAATTTGCATCTCACCTTGTATGCTTTTCTGTTGACTTGTTAAATATGCAAATCTGAAAGTGACAAATCTCCAATATGGGCCACTTATTCTGCAGGGATAAATGAAAGTCCTGCTGAGTATACACCAAATAGGTCAGAACAGAAGTAATTTAGATTAACTGTAATAAGCTATGTTGTTCTATATATAGCTCATAAGATTTAGAGACGTTTAAAACAGGCAATGCTATTTTTAGATTTTTTCCGCTTAATGTCTGAATCCTGGGAACTGCTTTTCTGCTATCTCTACCTCTTAAAACACAGGTAAAACCATTTCAGATCCTCTTTCTACTGTCTGCATACACTGCATACATGTCATTCAGTCTTGAGAACTCTGGAATACTAAAAGTTTCTTGTAGTATTTTCCAGGTGCAGATAAGCAAGGAACAGATAAATTACACAATGATAAAACACATTTGTTTTGCCAGACTCTATCCAGTATTCTGTATTGTAAAACTTGATTAACTGTGAAGTATAATAATTTTTTTTTGTTATCCATCTCATGCCTTAAGGCAAGCTTCTTACCTAAATCAAACAAAATAGGTGTTGGTCAGTTGCTGTTTTCTTCGTTCTTGATAATGCTGTTTCTTCACTAATGTTTTCTAATAAACCTTTTAGGCCTTAACCTAACAGCGGTATTTACACGGAGATTAAATAAAAGACCTGTGGACTCTAAATATTAATTACTTTGTTGCATAGTACTTACATAGAGGTATCAATCTACAAATTACTAAATGCACACCACCTTTCGGTTTCCAAGTTTTTAAAGAAAATGTGGAAACCATTATTTTCCTTTTTCTTCACAAATGAGTGTCATCATATGTTGACCTGTCACATAAAATCCTAAAACAGAGGCTTAAAGCTTGTGGGTGTACTGTTTCAAAATGTGGAATGGTTTAAGGTGTATGAATTATTTTGCAAGACGCTTCTTCAGAAGGAGTTTTCTAGAAATATGCATGCATGTGTGTTTTTTCAGCTGTCCCCAGTAAAACTGGACCGTCCGATTTTCCAGGCTTACCCATCAGAGCTGGTCTTCCAGAACTTTATTCCCTTACAAACCTACAGTTTCCCTCTGCTGCTTCTCAACAATGACCAGGTTTGTTCAAATGAAAATTTGAATCTTTCAAATACATCTGATTAAAACCAATATATGACTTCATGAGTCTTTCAATCATAACATATTTGGGGATTAATGGACAAAACTTGGCTTGTCCAAGCAAAAATAAACATGTTGTGTCTTATTATAGCAGTGTTGTGTGCAAGTAATGGCAAATAATTGCAAAAGGTCATGGTGGATTGAAACGGACATGTACAAGCAGGAGTCAATTTTAGTACTCTGTGAATTCTACTTTGTTTCAGCTGTTTCAGCAATTGTTGTTTTGTTTAAGGTTTCACACCCTGTGAAGTTGGACCAGGATGTTTCAGAACAGTTTTACATGGCGGGTCCAGAGACTGGAAGAAGCAAAATAGCACCAGGAATGACTGCCAGTTTTATGGTATTCTTCACTCCACAGGAGAGCAAGGTGCTGTTCCTAATAATATTCATTACAAAATTTATGAAGCAGAAAGTCTTAGGTAGATAAAATATTGTGCTTCTGGGAGGATGTATTTGAATTTAGAAAACATTTTCTTAGAGTTACAGGGTAGCTGTTTGAGGAGACTTGCTGTCAAGTGTAGAAATCTAATTTCACTGTTATTTTCTTTAACAGTTACAGAATGATCTTTTTATGTGATTATGATGTCCTGACTTTGAGTTTAGTGGTAAGACTTAGGAATCACATCTCTTTATCTGTGGTGCTTGTGTCTTCCTTGTAAGCTCAATTTTATCTTTATAGCAAAGGCTGTTTCACGTTTGACTGAGGAGTACACTGTTATTAATACCATATGTATGTTATTAAAAACTGTAATTCAATCCAGTTGGATTGTTGAGATTTGGTGTTCAGATATGTCTAGTTTTATCTATATATTTAAAAAAATCTTTAAGTGGGTTATAACTGATGTAAGAGTTTTTTTTTTATTTGAGTAAAATGTATATATAAACTAGTTGTGTCTATATATTTTGCGAGGAAAAAAAATCTGTTATTCATTGGTTTGTCTTTTTAACTTTTGTGTCTGTTTCTTCTCTCAATTTAGGATTACAGCCACAGACTGATTTGTGTTTCTCCAAGAGAATGTTTTGAGATTCCAATTCGTGCCATTGGGCCCCGTGCCATATTTGACTTTAAAGATGAGATTCATTTACCTACTTGTCTAGTGAAAGCATCCACAGAGAAAACTCACTTTGTTTGCAACATAGGCAACTGTAAGGCCAATTTCAAGATGCACACAAAAAGGTTAGAACTAGTACATGTCATGAGTTCAAATGAGATATTTCTCATACATTTTATATTCAAAACAGATGTGAATAAAACTGTTCAAAATGAAACAAAAAAAAAGCAACTTTGTTTAGAAAATCTCCAGGAGCTATAGTGTCTGGAAACATTGTATAAGATTTCAATAATCGCAGATTTATGTCTCAGTTGTTCATGGCCGATTTTGTTGTGAACTGTCCTTTCTCAGTGACGCCCTCTCCTGATATTCTCGATGTTGGGGGAGCCATCCAGGTGACTGTGATGTTCCAGCCCATGAAAGTTGGACAGTTCCAGGAAGACCTCATCCTGCAGTACGACACTGGTGAGACTCATTTAAGCTTATCGTCAAAATGTCCATTGTCTCCAGATACTTTCCTTTAACCATCCTTTTGAAGTTAACATTGGTAATTTTGAAAATATTCCAAATTGCAATTCAGTGGGAATTATAGAAATTAAAGGGCATCAACTAGAAACAAACAATTATATGCAAGCACAAATATAACAGTTTTTTATAGACAGATATCTAAGTGAAGCTAAACTTTAATACCTTATATCAAAAATACTTATATTTATATTACTATATCTACAAAACCTACTTTACTGTATGCAGACCACAGGCTCAATTAAGTGTGCTCACTTCTCCTGAGCTCTAAAAGTCAACTGCACATTTTATGATATTACTGCATGTGGGGGTATGACCTCTTCTGCACCTTCCTCATCAAGTTCACTTGCATGAAATCTTATTTAGTCAAGATTATGCTAAAATATATTTTCTTCATATTTAAAATCCCTGTTAAAGGCTAGTCTTTTAATATTTTATATTTCCATGTTTCTTTCTTCCTATTTGTATAAAGTCCAATAAATACTGGTTAATTCCGGTGAAATGCTTCCAATGTTGAATTTTGCAACACGAACGAAAACAAACTTTAATTTTGAGGACATGATAGTGATTTCATTGTTACTGTCCTTATTGGTGTTATTTCATCTAAAACAAAATCCTTACACACTGTAAGAGGTGACCTAAATGAGAGGCTGCACACTTTCAGAGATTTGTATACATTTATTTGACAGACTGTGAAACTTATATCTATATTCTTGTTAAACCTGCTGTCATTTAACATGAATATTAACTCAGAGAGGACTCTCCTATAATTTCGTAACATTAAATATGGCCGATAAATATAATCTATTTTAATATTAACAGTTCCAAATTATATGTATAAGTGGTCTGAAGACACAAATTGAGACTAGAAATATAGTTTGAAGCTTGCATAAAATAGAACTGGAAAGGAAAAAATATATTTGCTGTAGTCATGGAGATAAACACCTTAATAAGATTCTGAGACTAGCAATGACCCGAAAGCAAAACAGAGTTACTGCACACCATCAACACACAAACACCCAAACACAGATTCACAATAAGAGAAGTGGCAATAATGTCTTTACTGCATGTCAGATTTGTTAGATGGGCTTTTGGTTTTATTTCCTGTTTTTATGTCACACTATCTTCACAGCCTTGCAAATACATTCCCTAAGGTTATTAACTCAACGTGCATATGTTCAGCTAATAGCCATGAGTACAAAATTTATTGTTTTGTCTGCGTTACTGGCATGATTCTAGGTTACTGTTCTATCATCATGGCTCTTTTGAAACACCTCCTGATGGACCGTGTTGAAATCTGAAGTCATCATAGAAAGCATCAGAGCTGCAAAAACACCAAAATCACATAAGGATAGTTTCTGTATCAATATGTTATGTTTGTACTCCACCAGTACAGATTGTACTTTGCAATACAATCAACAAATTTATTATGAGATAAAAGCATTGATTGAATTTTTAATCAATGCTTCAATCAACAATCATTACATGCAAGTCAAGTTTATTTGCCTAGCTGTCTTTGAGTAACAGAACCCAGAGTCTGAGCTCCATAAGAAGTAGTCCTGCTTTTGGAAAAGGGTCATGGCTGGACTGTAGAAATGAAGGAAATATAAATGGAAGTTATTTCAAAGACCTTGTGACATAGAAAGATGTGAACATGTGTATGTTTGTGTGAAGTATTTTGTCTAGTGTTTGTTGCCCTGTCGGAGAGTGACAACCTGCCTGCTCTCACCTGGTTGAGCAGGTGAGTGGATGGATGGATGGATATTGAGTGAAAGACCTTTGACCTCTCTGCCATGCAGTGTTCAAGCTTGGTTTAAGAGTTTTGTACAAATTTTTGTCTGCAATCAGATTTTTTTTTTTTTACTAAGGAACAGCAACCATTCATCTGCTAGCTAAATGCTGGGGTCTAAAAATAGTGACTTCAAAACATAAACAGATTAGGGACTGGGATAAATAAGCTCTAGTTCTGACCCAGGCTGGTCACATAAGTGTCTTTGAAAGCTATTTTCAGACTTACTGAATCCTGTGATGTTTTACACATGGCAAAAAGAAAAAAAAATAGTTTAATCGTGTTAGCTATGCATCATAATCAAGGTAGACATATTTCTCCTTTTAATAACCATGTGTGTGTGAAATACTGCTAATCTTTTTTATTTTTTAGTTTATGGGGAATAGATTCTTTGTCTAGCTTTTACCTTTGCATATTTTAAGTTTGATAACATTTCCTTACAGTAGAGTATGAATAGAAATAATATCATTTCAAATTTGAAGTTGTTGAAGCTGAAAACATGCAAACTAGTTTCCAAATTGAAGCATGGTCAGTACAAAATGTACAAAGTGGTGAAATTACCAACACCTGAACAAAGCAGAAAAATAGATTGCACAGTTCATCTGTTTGTGTTAGTGTGTCGCTTTGCATGCACACTGGGACACGCAGCATTATATCTGCTGCTTTCTGTTCAAAGCCAGTGCAGGTTTAAAAATGTTACAGTTTGCTTTGCCGTCTGTGCGATGTTTTAAAATCTTTGTTGTGTCTTGAAAACATCAGACTTTGTTGCTGCCACTAATTTTAAGCACGAGATGGACAGCGCTTAGGGATTGCTGAAGCATTTACTTTGACAGGTCTGCAGCACTGATGGGACTCTGATGGTTGTTTGCAAGCACACCAAACAATTTTAAGAAAAGGCAGCGCACACAAACAAAACATACAAGCATTCAGACTCAAGCATGTGTGGATAGTTGTACTCTCCCACAAACCTCCTGCGGCATCTGCAGTAATCAATGTATTGAGGGAGCTGATGAGCCCTGCTGCTGGGTTCTCAAAGAAATTATGAGAAAAGAAAGCCAGCAGGAGGAGAATCGGGTAAGAGACGTCCGTGATGGAAGCTGAGCAATAAGCTGTAGCTCTCCCTGCCTGTCAGCTCCTGTCATAACATCACAGTCCTAAGAGATAATTGCTTTTCTCTCTGTATCCCACAATTCTTGTTTCTCTTCCTCTCATTTCCTTCCATCATTCATCGTCCACCTCATATGTTTTTTTTTTTTTTTTGCCTTTAATCAATTGATGATATCTCAACAATTTACAGACATTCCTGTAGAAATAAACCAGCCTTTCTGTGGCTCTATGCCGTGCTTTATATATATATTCTCTTGCACATGATAGAACTGTCTGTGGTAATTAGAAGCAAACTTGAGCACTCTTTAAATCTCGCTATGCATTTACTTTTAATTACAAGTAGATTTTACTAATCTACATTTAACTAAATCAAATATTCTTTATCTAGCAAAAACTATTCACTGTTTGCTTTCTAAGTATTTTATTTCATTTCAGAGCATCTCCACAAGTCAGTAATAGAAACTTTTTTCAGATTCTAGTCTCGTGTAATATTCTGACGTTAAATGTGTTTTAAACTGGATTGTCTTTGGCCTTGCAAATCCCATTCTTTCTCTACTGAGCTGAGCAGACACTTATCTAGCAACCTTAGATGTGCTTCTGAAGTTACTCACATCAAAGAGGTTTTATCTGTTAAAAAACTAGATGGTGTGTTACAGTGAGAAAAGTCACCATTACTGAGCTGCTTGTAAAAATGTTAAACATTTTTGATCTTATTACAAACCAAAGAAGCTAAAGGCCGCAGCCAAATGTGTTCAGTCAGAATTTTGCTTTTGTCATTACCAAAATAACAGTGTAACTCTGCATGTATTCATATGTACCTGCAATAGAATATTTTAATTATAGTGGAAATTTGAGCAAGAGACGTTCACCAAACAATGACTAAAAGAAAATTATGTCACCTTCATGCGTAAATTGCATTGTCTCTGATTTGAATGTAAACAAAGAGTTACTAAATTTACATGACTCCTTGTTCTTGGTGGCTTTATACAAAACCTGATTTTGCATCTTTTTTTCCTGGTTGTTACTTTAATCAAGGACAAACTCAATGTCTAGTTCTGCTTCAGTTTTAATTATTTTTTTTTTTTTTACAATTGTCTCACATTGTCTTCAAGCACCTTCTTATACACCTGAAACAGACAATTTTATTTATGTATGACTTAAAATTGTGGTCTTTGTTGAGCTTGCTATTATTTATTCACAATATTTCCTTTAATTAAATTTGTTTTGTAAAGTGAAAATGGTAAAAATCACTCCATCTCACCCTCTCTTATCAAGCTAATGAAACAATTAAAGCACTGGTTTTACGACTTTTAACAGGATTGCTTGTTTTCTACATCTTTCTCTCAGGTGAAGATGTCCACATCAGTTTGTTTGGGACTTCGGAGGAACTGAACATCTGTCTTCAACCTGAGCCTGTAAATCTAAAGAAGACTTATATCTCCCTGACCAGTTCTCAGACAGTTTCACTCACCAACTGCAGTGACATTCCTCTTAAGTACCAGTGGACAGTGTCGCCAAGTCAGGCAGAAGATGACCTGTCCTTTTTCAGGTTTGGATTAGAAAAAGCTTAAAATGCACACAGTCGAGCTTTCTTACTGCATTCGCTTTCTGTCCGTCAGCAGCTTTTTGCTCTTCTCATGAGCCAGTTTTTCCACTTTGGCCCACCTTACTTACACTTTGTATTCCTTTTCACCTTCTGTCCACTCTCCAGGGAGAACTCTGTGCTTCAGCAGAAGGAGGAGAAAAGGGAGGGAAATATGTGTCGACCTAGTCGGTGCGAGTCTGACCCCACAGCGATTCATCACCCCCTGCTGCTGTCCCAAAGCCTGCAGGAGAGCAATAGCCAAGCTGCAGAGGACTGCCCTCCTACACTTTCACTCAGCGGCATAACATTGGAGCCGGTGGTGTGTTTGGATTTTCACTTCTTCACTGTACTATCCTTTCATTCTTTTTTTATTAAACCACTATTTTTTTTCACCTTACACCTTACGATATTGTTACCATAAGCTTTACAGTTGACACAGTGCAGTTAGAAAAGTACCATTCTCCATACATTTTATTTGACCTACAGCTTCATAGCATAGTTGCTGTGCATGTGTGTGTGTGGTGGGGGTGGATGGGGTGGGAGCAGGGTCAAGGAGTGTGTGTGTTTATGTATTTCAAGCATGTTTGAGAAACAGTGGACAGAATGCCTGGGAAAGATTGGTGAAAAAAGAGTGAACTATGTAGTTTAGTCAATACACAAATTTTGATAAGATATTTGGGGATAGTAGTCGGGAACACAAACACTTTTTTTAAACTCCTAACATACACACACGTGTGCAAACACAGTTCTTGGTGTGTCAAGTTCACGACCAGTATTAGGCATCGCTATTTTCTGTTTTACATCTGCATCATGATTTCACGAAATTAATGATCATTTTTGCTTCAGATGGGAGAGCTCTGGCCTAACACTACAGCAAACTTTCTCATCGTCTTCAAGCCAGAGGAGGCAAAAGTTTACCAACACACCGTTTATTGTAATGTCACAGGTTAGTAGATATGACTTAAGCTTTTTGCTAGTTTTGGAATAGAATAATGAAATTGCACTATACCTACTTACATGTACTGTTTTAAATGTTCATATTTCTGTATTTTTTTTATGTTATCAGTATGTATGTATATTAGTAGAATGTATGTCAAAAGATTTAGGTAACAAACACGTGGCAGAAGTTTTGATCAGAAATTATTCTGAAATTTGTCTAGGAAGTTGAATGTAGGGGATGACGTCACATCTCACTTACTATGATATCTGAAGACAGAAAACAGTGAGATTTGCTAGTTTGTTTTTGTTTAAGCAATATGAAATGTAGAAATAGTTGGCATAAATTTAAATTGAATATTTAGAAATATGGTGAAAGGATCAAGAACTCTGGAAATTAAATTTTTTGTAAAACGTATTTTGAGTACTTGGTCATAAATGTTGATAGAATCTCTTAAAAAGTTAATTCTACTCTGTAAATTTAAATATATGGAATTTGTAAATACAATTTCTTTCATGATGAAAGCCATCATAAACTAGTAATAAATCTTTTGGTTTGGTAGTTCTTCACCACCTTGAAGCTGGCTGTTTTTACAAGTGAGGCTCAGCGCACATCCCTCTTGCTCTGTAAATTGATAGCTTTGGTTTTCTCATAAAAGATTCCCCTTTCCCCCCTGGGAGTCTGTGCTACAAAGGTTAGACAAACAAAAATGAGTCTCGGTAGCAAACTACAGGTTTGGCTGTAAACAGAGTGTCCTTCACGTTTCCTTCCCTCTCCCAGTCGGCAGAACACAATTCACTCATTTGTGCACATGTTTTATTGAGCGAAGGAGTTATTCGTGCTTGTTCTTGTTATTCATATTATTTTACTTCATGGGGCAACAATACTACTGTATTTCATACAGTAATGTTAAATCTGTCCAACATGAAAACAAGGAAAACCAGCTTCATTCCCTGAGCAGCAACTTAAGTGCAATTTGTTGAACAATTATATCATCTTAGTGGCACTGAAAGGCAGTTGACAACTTTGCATGTGGCCATCTATTGTCTCCTTTGAGCCGGATTCCAAATTTCCATAAATTTCCATGGCAAGTGAGGATCTGACCAACTAATATGACATTTGTTCTGTAAAGCTTTGTGACCTAGAAAATAATGAAGCAAAACAAGCATCTATACGCATAGACTAAAGCCCATCACTGACACCAATGTATTCTGTCTTGTTTCGAAACCTGATATTTGAGAACTAACACCAGATTCTCTGTGAGGTAAAGATCTGGATAGTTTCACAAGCATAGACACACATATCATCAACGGACTACTTGAATACTTGTTAGCTTGTCCTTGGTGTCTCATTACTGTCTTCGTCCCGTTTCTTGTCACAAGAGTGGACTCCATATGTTGGCTCATCATTTTGCACGTAGGACACACTTACACTTTTTTGTTGTTGACGATGTCATTCTAGCCCTTAGCCAGGCCTGGTGCTTGCTAGGCAGTGTTGAGTGTTTTGCAGCTTTCTTCACCACAACTGAATCTCTTCACATGAAGTTCTTGATTGTCTAGACAATTATTTATTCAGCCGCAATATTCTAAGCTTCAGTTTCCTGCTTGTGAGGCCATTTTTCTGCAAAGTAATGATGACTGCACACTTTCTTTGGAGATAACCATTGCTAACACAATTAGACGGTGAATGAAATTACATCGGGCCCCTCTTCTGTAGCAGTCTGTCTGCTGATTATAATGATTTCTGCTGGGCTCGTTTAGAGCTACATCTATGTTAATATAATAAAAAAATAAAATAAAATTAGCTGATTGTCTTGAGAACAAACACAATGACTACAGGTAAAATAAATGCTAAATCTATTAAAATGCTAAATATATTTTGTCATTAAAGTCAACAATTTAAGCAAATTGACATCTGGATTATCCCAATATAATCAACATCAGTGCAAACGTATTTCAGAGTTTGTAAAACACACCATCTGCATCATTGACCAAACTCTTGGCAATGATTGCCAACTACCTTTAGCCTTTAAACTTGTTACATAGAACATTTGAAATTGAATTGTCACTGTCACTGTTTAGGGAAGCAATCACCATTACCCCTTCGGATCAAAGGTGAAGGGCTCGGACCAAAACTCAAGCTCAACTATAACCTGATGGACATAAGAAATGTGTTTATAGGTGACAAAGATCATTATGAGGTAAGAACTAGAAGAGCAACTTAGAACCATCAAAGTTGCTGCTAAAGTAGACATGTCATGCTTTTGCAATCCCACTTCCAATGAAGTTTCGATGTTGTGTAAAACATGAACAGAATATGATGATCTACAATTCCTTTTCCAGCTATATTCAATTTATTTCACTACAAGGACAAGATATTTAAGACTCATGTGTATTATCTTTCTTTTGATGCCTGCAACACATTCCACAATTTTTTTACTGATTTGCAAATCATCATATTCTCTGTTTATTTATGTTTTACACAATGTCCCAATTTTTGGGGATTTTTTTGCAAATCCTCCCTTTTCACATTTCAGTCATTCATTTGGTCCTTGAAGGGCTTCACAAAAACAAAGACGACTTTCCCCACTGATGTTGATACATTTTTCGGAAAAATTAAATTTAGCCAGGCACTTTGAAGATTTTCTGATGCTGGTTGATGGCATAATTAATTTTGACATATCTACTTGTAGCTGCAGTATCCTTGAATTTGGACTACAAAAGGGTTTTGAGAAGTAAAAATGGTGGATTTGCAAAATTGGTTAGCCTGAAGTCCATGATCTTGTTTAGTAGTTGAGTTAAAGATCTGAAAAGTGTGTTGGACGTTTGTATTCTGCCCCCTTTACTCTGACACCTCTCACTGAAAAACCAGTGCAACCAGTTGCTTTCAAAAGTCATCTATGATCAAAGTCCAGATGTGTTGTTTAATCTTTGTATAAATAGAGCTGCTCTGTGTAGAGAACAAACGGCATCATGAAGACACAGCGGAACTGTCAGGGATAAAGTAGTGAACAAATTTAATGAATGTTGTGTTATAAAACAATATCTCAAACTTTGGCCATTTTCCAGAGCCCTGTTCAAGCCTGGTGGCCCAGTGAGGTCATAATACAGGGGCAAAGCCTGGGTTCACCTTTAACTAGGACAATGCTGAACATACAGCCGGAGTTTAACAACCAGTGCATGTATGTATCAGAATGTCCCAGACCTAAATAAAATTGAAAATGTGTGGTAAGACTGGAGATTTGGAGTTCACAGGAGTCTCATCCAATCTGACTGAGCTATTTTACAAATAGCTCAGGTTTGAATTGGTTGAAGAATGTGCAGGTATAATTACATTGAATGTGGCTCTACAAAGTATTCTCATTTCACTCAGAATCTGTTTTGAAAATTAAGTTGATGTTGTCAGTCCAAGTTCAGTGAGTTGGAACTTTTTTACACTCTATTGAACTCATCCATGTGAGTTTGTAGCCTTGCATTACTGAGTGTCCATCAGAAGTTTTATGTAAAACATAATTTTACTCAGCAATGGGACTTGTGACAAAATTGTTTTTTGTTGTTTTTTTAGCTGCAGATGACAAACAAGGGACTGATTGATGCCCCTTTCAAGTTTTCTCACCCTAAGACCACATTTGGCCTGTGTTTTTCCATCCGGCCCCAGGAAGGTGTCATTCCCCCTGGGATCTGCCAGGCTGTAGAAATCAGTTTTCACAGTCGGACCTTGGGAAGCTTTTCTAAGGATTTGCTGTTAACTGTCACAGGACAGCCGCAAACTCAAATCCTAACTTTCAGGTGAAGATGGCATGTAAACATACTGTCCAAGTTAATTACAGAGACGGTCAGTATTTAAGGTTGTTAAAGTGTTTATATTAATCCAATTTGTTGTTAATTTTAATTACATAATCAGTACTTGTGTAATTTGGAAAATGTTTTCAAATAGCTGCCTTTCTTTACTTCAGGGGTTGTGTAATTAAATTGATAATCCCTTTTAATCTTCCTTTTAATTTTCTTAAAAGTAAATGTCACATGTAGATTGTGTACTGTTCCAAAGATGCGTCTTGTGTAAAACTCATGTTTTATTGTGTTACGTAAACATAGTGCAATCGTAATAGTTTCTAGTATTTTAAAAACCTTACTGCAATTATTTTAAACTAATGAATTTAAACTTAATTCATGTAACTTAAATTATCGAATGTAAAACTTTACGTTTCCCAGTTATTGTAGATTCTTTTTCAGGAAGCGGAAGTAATTTGAACACATTTTGAAATAATGATTTTAGTATGTGTTGATGTAAAATAAATGAAAATTAACATTCCTATAAACACTTTCTTTTTTTCTTGCTTGTTTCAAATGTGTGATTAGGTTACCCTGTGCTCGAACACAGTGAAGAAATATGAACTGGCGCTAGCAATAGATGTTGAAGGTGTCGGAGAGGAAATCATGGTTTTCCCTCTCAATGCCAGGTTCGACACACTCACTGCTGACACCTGAAACATGCTCAGAAAATTCTTAAATAAATACACTTTTCTCTTTTTCTATTACTCTGTTGCATTTAACTTTATCACAAGCTAATGCTCACTCAGTGCTTTAGATCTTTTTGTATCCATTCCCTGACTTGTACTTTAAATCAAAGCTAGGATCCAAGGGAGAGAGTAGTTTTTATAGGCATCATATTTTGACAGCAAAAACAGTTTAATTTGGCTAAAATAAGGTGATGTTGCTGTTTTTTGTTGACTAATAAACAACAGAGATCTGATTTCAGACCATTTTCAGAGAGAATGTTGTCAATCATTTTAAAATGTTGGTTTTAGTAATTGGAAGAACAAATATTTCCTGATCACAGATGAATCCCAAGTCTTTTCCTCTGTTTTCTTCATTTTTATTCTTCATCTTTTCTGTCTTTACAGGTGTGTTGTGCCTGGGATTGAGGTTGAGCCTGCCATTTTGGACTTCCAAAGATGTTACCTGGGTCTTCCCTATGAAAGGAATTTGCAGCTGATCAACTCCAGCAATCTTCCTGCTTGTTATGGTGTGCTAGATCAGGTGAAGTTAAACCAAGTGATTGGTGTTAGAACCAGGCTTTATTATTAAGCATAGTGCAACAAAATGACCTAAGTGTGCAGAATATTGCATTTAGTAAGATGGTTAATATGCCATGTTTTTTTTTCCAGCTGTCTTTAACTGATTACTATTATGACATAAATAATACGGAGACATCTATATGTCTGGGGTTAAATAAAAAGAAAGATTGCTCTGTTGAACCTCACTGTTTCTGGTGCCACAGCTTGAGTGGCATCTCATCAAAGCCCACTATTTAGATATTACACAAATTCCAAATTAGTCCATAACTTAAATTTCAAATACCCAAATAAATTCTAATATAATATTTTCACTTACACAGTGCTTCCTCTCAAAGGTCTGTTAGGAATGAGACATGGATGCTGTTCTGTTAGCTTCTCAGCGTTTAGACACCATTAGACTTTGGTGCCAGTCATTGAATAATTTTCTTTCTCTTTCTTACATTAAAGCTGCAGCATGTAACTTTTATAGGAAATACTTTTTTTTTTACATATTTGTTGAAGTTGTCGCCGTGTTCCAACAAATTCTGACTGTGTCCCTTTATTTAAAAAAAAGTAACACCTTTCCATTCTGCATTTTTAGGAGATGGAGGGGAGTACACCAGTACTTTTTGTCAGCTCTATGCCCAGAGGAATTCTTTTGGCTGGTAGCTCAAAGGAGATTCCTGTGTCCATCATGGCTCGCGCTTTAGGAAGGATCCAGAACTCTCTACATATTGCTGTGTTTGGCAGCCTTCAGCAGCCTCTGGTCAGTGAGTTTCAATGGAAATGTCAGGGTTGCTGCAGGTTCAGTACTTTGTGGCAAATAAATTAATTCTCAAAATTTCCTGTTCTGTTCCAGGAGGTCCTTCTGTCATGTATTGGACAGGGACCCATTGTTTATGTTCCCATCTCACAGCTGAAGTTTGGCAGCATTCCTGTCCTGACGGATGCTACTCGAACACTGCAACTTCTCAATCAGTCTCCCATTCCTGCTCACTTCAGCGTCAGTTTGGTACAGCCATCTACAAATTAATCTTTCACAGCATACATTGGTGGAGTAAGAAAATAAAGGGGGGGGAGCAAAACTTGTATGACTTAAGCATAATAAGGTATCAATAAAACTTGGTTTGTTAAAGTTAGATAATAGGACATTAGTCTTTAGGTGCAGGTCCATTCTTTTTCTTCTTTTTGCTACATCTGCCATCCACAAATCTTACTCCCAGATTGGAACAATTTATGTGAAAAGTCAGACAGAGACATTTTGTGAATCCAGAATAGCTGAAACTTACTATCCAAGTATAAATTCACAGTGATCTAATGAGAAATGTCATCTGTAAGGTCATCCGTCATCATCTACAGTTTAAAGATGACAGTTTAACTTTCACTACTTCCATTTCAGTCAACTGTGTTTGTTGACTAAATATCCCAGTATGTTAAGGAATTCAAACTCTAAACAGTGTGTCATGCTTACGCAGATTAAAGGAAACACTATGCTGTGCTGCAGCGTGAGAATTGCTGTGTCTTGTATACAGTGTTTTCCTTACCTCCTGAAAACTCTTCTCTTGTTGCATCGCCTTATCAGCGTTGCCTTATATCGACTGAAAGCACACTTGCAACTGAACACATTCCTCAGTAAAGACTCAACAGTCCACACATCCAAATTAAAAATTTTACTGGCAAGCCTGGTGTGACCCTGTCCTTTCCTCCAAGGCAGTGTGCTAAAAGAAGGAGTTTCTCCTCTGCATTCACAAACATCAGTCGATGAAGATTATCGTAGAATTATATACATACTACACATTAAGCCGGCAAACAGCCACACAAATGAAGAACAATGAATGGTTGTGGGGATATTACCAAAGATATCTAAACCCAGTGACCATGTCCAGGAGCATTGAAAAGAGTAAAGTGTAACTGAACAAGTGTGAAGATGTATCTTTTTCTTTTTACAGCCCACTGATATTCTGCCTTTGGTAGATCATTCTATGGCATTTTGTTTAGTTAAAGGATGTGCGCCTGGACTCTTTGCAATGCTGAAATATAAAATTCCTCTTCAACTTCTGTTTTCTAACGGACACTTGGAGATTTAGTGTCAAAACTGAATTGCATTTTGACCTGCTTATGACGTCATTCACTTAGACAAAAAATTTGTGTAATAAAAAAAAAACCCATCAACTATGTTGACACGTAGCATGATGTTGCTACCACTATGTTTTACTGTGTGTATGGTGTTCTTTTGATGATGCTTAGTGTTGTTTTTGACCCAAAGATACATTTTGCAATTGTGATGCAAAGATTTAGGTTTGGTTTCATTTTAGCATTAGCATATTATCCCACAAGGTTTTACAATATTTAAATTACTTAATCCAGACATAGCAAATATAGGTTTTGTAACGTTACTGTAATTGTATCCAACTACTGATGATCATTGTATCCAACTACTGATGATGATGGCCATGGTGTACATAAGATTGTGTTTTTTTCCCCTTCTCCTGACTGGTACCTTTGTACAGTGAGGTGGTTTTGATCCTTTTAACATCCTTGTAAATTATAACTTTATCTAACGGAAGCAAATTTTAGGAGTCCTGCACATCCAGACTTTATTTCAGGTAAATCAGATTTCTTACCAATTGATGTCAGGACGTTTATTCAAAAGATGCATAAAACGAAATATTAGTTTAAGGATGTACACACATTTATACCTTTTTCCTAACTAGAAGAAGTTGTGAAACCTCATCTTTTAGATCACAAAAATCTGCATTTGACAGAGAACAACATAAGCATCTTTGATAGTTGTAGTGGACACGGCAGAAATTTGAATTCGGCTTTAGCTGCATTCAGTCGATGCTAATCAAGCTGTGGGATGCGGCATGTTTGATGGGATTATTTAAATTCTTCTCATCTTCCCTCCTCACTCCGGGGAGTCAACCCTCTGCTCCTTCTCCTCTCCAAACCCCACCCACCCCTTTAACCGTGATCACCCATTATCGATCTCCTCTCCATCTGAGTTCTCAAGCTTCTTTGCTCGATTGTACAAACATTGGGAAACTGATCTATGACTCCCAATGTCACCCACCGGCTAAGTTGTGCGGAGCATTTTTATTTGAAGTAAACATCTATATGTAATATGTCGCATATTTTCTGTGCAGGACTCACTTCGGTATGAAAGGTGCAGCCTGAGAGTGAGTGTGTCCCCATTGATCAATAATCTACTTTGTTGTCCTACAGGCAGTGAGAGCGCCCAAGCTTCACTGCGTCTGTTAGAAGCTAGTCAAAATCCCAATTAAAAGTTTACGTTCCAGCCATCCATCAGTACCAATGCAGCATGGAACATTGATTGTGATCCTGACCACTGCTTGGTCTTATATATTTCAGTGGCATATGCATATATATGCGACTGAAAGGAATATGAACATTAGTTCTTCATCTGTATTCAGCTCAGAAAGATGCCTCTGAAGAAAGTAGTAAATGAATATTAAGATGGTTTTGCAGAGTTTTTAAATGACACAAACGTGTGACAGATCCCTGGGATTTCACTTTTTATGCTTTTAGCAATGCTATTACACTTCCTCTACATCTTTGTAACATAATTGGCAAGTTATCCTGTAAATATTAATGATGAATTTTATCTTACTTATGTTGGGCAGGGAGTCACTGAACTCCCTTTACCTCAAGGATCTCCTGCTGCAACGAGAGTTGATGTGATTATGCAGCAATTTATACAGACATACACTTTCCAGCCATGTATTACATTTTAAGACGAATGCAACACAGACTAACCTGCTAGAATTATTTTAATGCATCATATTTCAGTGTTTGAAAAAGCTGGGATAGCAAGATAGCATTAGATACCCTCAGAAAGCCAATTTTCTGTAAACAATTGCAGAAAATCTGAGTAAAACCAGTAAAATACAAACTTAAGGAAGCTTAATGGCTACAAAACACTATACCCAAGGAAAATAGCTGGCACATTTAAAAAAATTATTGAATGTCAGTAGACCTTGAGATTTCTAACATCAGTGCAAGGTGAACTTTTTGGTCAAAAAACAGGTATTTGTTGAAATCTTCTCCATCAGCAGTGAGTTGGAAGTGTTGAAACTTCACTCGCTGAAACTGTATTTTATTTTTCTTACCAGTTCATTGTGGCAGGTCAAATGTGGCTGCAGCAGCTGATAGTCCAAAACTTCATTCCTTTTATTTCTCTTCCAAACTTTTCCTTCCTATATCTTTTTTTAAAGGTTCAGTTAATTCAAATGCAGAAATGATGTGGGTTATCTACTTTTTGAGTTAGTTTGAGATAGTACTTTTGATAAAGTTAGAGCTTTTACCAGCTGATGATGGTCTGTTTTCATTTTTATACAGTTTGATCCCATAAAATTTACAGTTAGATGTCTCTGAATATAAGTCAAGGACATTTACCCTAGAGATTCATTTTTGATTGATTTGAGACTGATAAAAATTTTACTAAGAAGACATTTTGACACATAGATATTAATTAGTAGTAGGCTTTATCATTTCTTATGCCAAATGTTGACAGTGAACTTCACTTGACCATGTTCAGATTGTGTTTCTGTTTTGTTTTTTTCAGATCCATGAACAGTCCTACTGGCGTGTTGACCCTAGTGAAGGAGTAGTGCCACCTGAGAGCCAGCTGGAGCTAAAGATAGTAGCAAATTTGAAGGACACACTTCACTTTACGGACAAGATGGAAGTATTCATACGGGACAACAGAATACACAGTGTCTCACTGTCAGCCACAGGCACTGGGACAACTATTGTCAGCAACAAACCTTTTGGCCCTAATCTTGACCTGGGCACACACTTCTAGTAGGAACATAGTTAAACTAATTTTGATTTAAAAATGTGCAACTTTGTAACTGTGAACTGAAGTTTGTCCTTTTATACAGTTTGTGCTTTTTATGTTGTATTTTTTTTTAGCTTTGTTCCATAAGAGTACAAATTCAAGCTGACCAACCGTGGTCTACGGCATCACCGGATGTTCTGGAAGATTGGTGGCGTCCTGGCTTCTCCAAAACAACAAATAAACTTCTCTGGCAGAACAGCGTTACCTCCAATCAGCTCTTCTAGGCGGAGAGATAATGTGAGACGTAAACCTACGCCATCTACCAACCGAGACAAAAATGTGTTCAGCCTCAGTCACACTTGTGTGGACCTTTCTCGGGGCTGTTCTGTTGACATGGTACTCACAGCATCTGCAGACTCCCCCAAGGTGTGTTTGTAGAATTTAAAGTCAATAAATAAAACCACTGGATTCTGTATACAGTGCTCATACACTGACAACAGTGCCTTGAATTAGATAGTGCTGTACTCTTAGCTCTTCTGATTTTAAATCTTCTGTCACATTGCAATGAAACCTCAATGTATTTTATTTGGATTTTATGTGTTGGGACACAAATTCACATAACTGTTGGGTTTTTTAATTTCCATGCCGAAAACAGCAGTAAAGTAGGGACCATTTCTATTTAAGCTCCTCGGCCAATACTTCGTAGACCCAGCTATTGCTGAAATTACAGTGAAACATTTTAGGGCTGCTATTCAGGTAGTAAAATAATCTCCACCTTACTCTTAAGCCTTTGCAGCCTACAACCAGATTGCTTCTGATTTTTCCTTGTATTTAGATCTGTCCATCTTCCCTTTAAGCCTGACATGTCTACATGTCTTTACTGAAGATAAGCATCCCTGCAGCATGATGCTGCCAGTACCATGTTTTACAGTGAGGACAGTGTGTTCAAGGATATGTGGTGTTACTGTAGCCCCATGACTCCCACAGTATTTGGTGTGTGGAGTCCCAAATATTGGCCAACAAGTTGATTCATGATTTCAACTGAGCTAAGGACCATTTTCCATATATTTTGTCGTTGTAATATGACAAAATGTAAAAAACTGAAAATGGTGCCTTTTTAAGGCACTGTACATGTATAAACTATGTTTTCCTGAGCGTCTGGTGTGCGACAGCATCATTGGTGGCCACGGCTGTCAGCAAACCATCATGTCTGTGGAAGCAATGTGTCGTTTTGTTGCTCCATTGCTTAATATTTCCTCAGAGCAACTGAACTTTTGTGTAAAGAAGGTTAATTTTAATCACAGACAACAAGTTTGGAACCACAGTCAACGGGGTAGCATGTAGTCTCAGGAAAATCAAAAAGATGAAATGTAACTTTTCCTTAAATACTGAGAATTTTATTTTTCTACTGTGCTATGATTCATCAAAAATAACCAGGAGTAAAGATAAAATTGTATGAAACTCATGTACAAGTATGTTGGTAGTGCTTAGTGGTTTTTAGTTGTGAGGAACAACTGAAAAACGTAATAGCCATAAAACGTACTGGATGTTGTATTTTATACCTTTGTTTTTTTTGTATTAAAATAAATGGTCTCTTTTTTTCACAGGTTTTGGTTTTAGAGGACAAGGGTCAATCTGAGTTCTGGGTTTGCTTTGATCCATCTTTCTGTACGGACTTAATGCACCGTATTGTGGATGAGGTAAGTTTGATGTTGATAATGCTTTGAAGTAAAACAATTTTTAAGTATGAGAATGTGTGTTTTTTTTGTTTGTTTGTTTTTGTTTACTTTTTTGTCACATTTAAATATTTATATACTGAAATGACATCGATAGTACTGAAATAACTAAATATTTTTCCTTCTCCACCTCATAGACGCTTACAATCAATTACTTGGACCTCCCACAACAAGAATGTGTGAAATTGTATGCTGAGGTCCACTTTCCGAACGTTCAGTTTTCTTCAACAATTGTGGACTTTGGTTGCTTGCAAAACTGCTCAGAGATAAAGAGAAGGATAACAATGACCAACTGCTTTCAGCTGCCGGTGTGCTACAACGGGGCTTTTATGGAGTACCAAAAACGCCCTCATAGGAGGTATGAGGGTTGGTGTTTTAAGTGAAAACATCCTCTGTTTTCTGTTGTAAACATTTCAACTATCTACTATCATAACTTTAGCCATGAAAGGTGATAAGTGGTGAGTTGCAGAGTTTATACCCATGTACAGTCTAAAACGTTTACATGCATCCATTCATCATTGTTGTCATATTAATAAGAGCTTTTAATGCGTTTTTCTTTTTTTCTTTTAATATATATATTATTGCTAGTTGCAGCAAGGTGAAGAAACCATTTCACCTTGCTGCTTCACCTTGGGCAGCAAGGTGAAGTTTGCTGCCCACTCAAACTTATTAATAGGTGGCTGAGTTGACTTTGGAGTTCAGAAAATGTCAGGAGATTACATGGCACCATAACTGTGAAAACTTGACATTGACTTGTTTTAGCAGTTAATTAGTTGGCTGTAACACCACAGTTTGCATAACGTTTATACAATGATGTCATTTTTTATGACATTGGGTTTGCTTCATGTGTAGGCTATGATCATCAAAATTACAGGAGAAACGAAGGCTTGAAATTTTCACTTTGTGTACTGAATCTGTCTGAGTCACACTTGTTCATGTGTGACAAACTGTTGAGGTTTTTCAAGTTTTTTAGCTGCACCTGCAGCTTTCTTTTGTTATTGTTATAGCTGCTATATACAAATACATGGTAAATGTACGTTTATCTGTAGGATCGACTTGTTTTTGGAACCAGAACATCTTTTAGTTAGTTACTGAAAAGATGAGATTCAGGGCTGAGAACAGAATGGATCTCTGCCATGCATTAAAACTGTCCACTGGGATGCTTCAGTACCATGCTATACATTTAACCCCACTGAACTGAATTGAGCCAAAGCCATTATAAATTCTCTGGGGAAGACACATTTACTGATGGTGTGCTTTATAAACTTTACAGTGTGCCTCTTTCAGGCCTCTGCTTTGGCTCTTCTGGAATAAACTGTGAATACTGTAGTAGTCTACTTGTGGCCTTGAACCAAATAACTAATAGCTCTGCAAGATTTATCACCCTCAATCAGCTTTTTCCCCTCAACCTCTTCCATCTATTGGTATTCTTTCGTTTCCATCTTTCCCTTTCTTCTCCTCGCAGGGCTTTACATTGCTTATTTCTCTTTTTTTTCTCTGCCTCTCTCTTCTCTGCCTATGTGTCTCTTTAATACTTTAACCTCATCCAATCCCTCTTCTCTTACCCCCCTTTCCCTCTCTTAAAAACCATCCTCGCAGGTCGTCATGCTAATTAAATGTAGACCTCACCTCTGTAAAATCTCTTTCTCTCACACAAAACCTGCGTTATCTTGCCATGTTCAGCTAATTACATCACTATCAGTAATTACACCGCAGTCCTCTGAGATGGGATTGTCTGTAAGGCAAACTCTTTTATCCTAGCAACATATATATGCAGTATAGCACATATAGATCCTGCAGTGTTTCCATCTGGAAAACCTTCAGCAAGACAGAACAAGAAAACATACTTTTTGTCTATTTTTAATGTGTGAGATATTAGATTACTGATATGACTGGTTAATCAGTGAAACAAGTAACTTAAGGAAGCACCATGCTAAAGCCAGTGTGTTCAGGGGAACCAAGGGTCTTCATCTCCAGTCCATAAAGGACATTTTGGGCCATCCAGGTCCTACAACTTTTAGATGTGTCCCTGGTCCAACACACCTGAATCAAAAGGCTGAATTGCCTCCTCAGTATGAAGTGAGGTTCTCCAGAGTCCTGCTAATGACCTGATTATTTGACTCAGACAAATTGAAGCAGAGACGCAGCTTATGGTTGCAGAACACAGGCCCTTGAGGACTAGAGTGTAAGACCCCTGATGTAAACTGTTTTGCTGCCAGAATTAGCAGATTTATTCTGTTTTTGACTTGCATTAAAAAGCAGTAGAAAGAAAAACAATATTTTCTTATAAGTGACCACATATAGTCTTAATCTTGTAAATGCCCCAAGGCTTTTGCTGAGCTCTATGGAAACAGTGAACTGCATTGTATTTCAAGCAATGCCCCTTTAGTCATACAATCTCAGTAGCATTCTGTGAAAGCATGCTATTGAGAAAGCAGAACCCATGATGTCAAGAATTTGACTTGCATGATTCGTAATGACAAAATAATCAACAAATTCTGGTCACTAGATGATATATATCAGTGCATAACTAAAATACCCTAACCTTTTTCTGCATAAAAATATTAAANTGAAACATTTTAGGGCTGCTATTCAGGTAGTAAAATAATCTCCACCTTACTCTTAAGCCTTTGCAGCCTACAACCGGATTGCTTCTGATTTTTCCTTGTATTTAGATCTGTCCATCTTCCCTTTAAGCCTGACATGTCTACATGTCTTTACTGAAGATAAGCATCCCTGCAGCATGATGCTGCCAGTACCATGTTTCACAGTGAGGACAGTGTGTTCAAGGATATGTGGTGTTACTGTAGCCCCATGACTCCCACAGTATTTGGTGTGTGGAGTCCCAAATATTGGCCAACAAGTTGATTCATGATTTCAACTGAGCTAAGGACCATTTTCCATATATTTTCTGGTTTTAATATGACAAAATGTAAAAAGCTGAAAATGGTGCCTTAAAAAGGCACTGTACATGTTTAAACTATGTTTTTCATTATTTTTCCAGATTTTTCATGAGCGTCTGGTGTGCGACAGCATCATTGGTGGCCGCGGCAATCAGCAAACCATCATGTCTGTGGAAGCAATGTGTCGTTTTGTTGCTCCATCGCTTAATATTTCCTCAGAGCAACTGAACTTTTGCGTAAAGAAGGTTAGTTTTAATCACCGACAACCTACTATTCTGGTTTTAAGAGTGTTGTTAGTGAAATCAAACCTGATTTAAAAGAAAAAAAAACATCTAATCAAAGTTAAAACTTGATTTAACAAAAGGTGAGCGCTTTTTCATGTAGAGAATGTTGGTTTGAGTAGCTTTTTCTAAGTAAAGTCATTGTTTGATCACTGCATTTTTTATTTGCTTGGATTATCTTTGTGTTATCAAAAAGTATTTTTGATGAAAGTGTGGAAGTGTAAAAAAAAAGAAAAAAACTAAATCAGAAGTAATCTGAGTCTTTTACAACTCTGTCTTTTTAAAAGGTTAAGGGGAAGTCTCTGTTGCCTGTATATGAGAAGCTGGTCTTGCAAAATGCGTCGTCTTTGCCTCTGTCCATGGAGCTCATTCTTCCGAAGCACTTCTTTCTGTGTGAGACTCCAGGAGAGCAAAGCTCAACTTCAACCAAGGTTTGTTTCGGATACTTCCATTCCTGATTTAGGAAAGAGGAGCTCCACTGATTTGGTGTCACTATCTATTGAAATTTTACCAGTTTTCTCATATTTACTCACTCAATTCACATCCTGTTGAAAAGGGGAGTCTTTTGTTTCCTAATTAGCTTCAGATTTATTTCTCAGCCGTAAATATTTTTAAATAGATTTATTTAAAATGTATTTAGCTGTGTGTTTGATCTGTGGTAGCAGACATGGATGTATGTGTTTACTCACTGAAACTGATAACGAATACAATTCATTCAGAATTTTCCAATTTCATTAAATGTACCAAAATTGATCATTAAAGTTTCTTAACAGATGTTGGTTGTTTGGAAGAAAATACAGGTTTTAAAACTGTAAACAAAGGTTCCTAATATTAATCTCATTCAGTTATTTTTTTGATACAGCCCTTTATCAACCTTTGACCTACTGGCGATGAAGCATGATAAGTGATGTTATTTTTTTTAAAGTGCTGTAATTCAAACACCGATAAGGTCATCTCACTTGCTTGCATCTGCAGCAACCTTGTGTGGTT